AGTTATGTTAACAATTTATTTTTTTAAACATAAATGTAATTTTGTTATGGGTTGTAGAAGTCTAATTGCCTTGATTTTTTTCGTGGATGATCTACTCGATGAACTCTATAATATGAACGGTTGGATTATCAAAATAGATTCAAAAAATGCCTCTACAGACTCACAACACGGTGTTATGCCTATAAAGACAGAATACCATCCCCAGGTTCCATGTGGGACCCACCTTCATGTGCGACCTTCTGTGTAATCAATGCAAAGATTTTTTGTGTAAATAGTATTTCTATTTTGTAATGTATACTACTACCCATCATGAAATAAATATCATGACAAGTTTCATGAAACTAATCTTAGGGTGATTACATAACATACAATAAAACACTACAAACACTATAAATTAATTCAAGGGTGGAGAATTTTCATAATATTTCTTTCATGATACCTAACATTATTGTTTTGTAATTCATGTGCGCCTAACATTGATATATTCTAAATTAGCATTTAATGCTAGCATTTAATTATTTTTGTTAATTAGCTCAACTGAGTGGCAGTTATACCAACAAATTAATGGGTCATTGCATCAAATCAAATTCATTAATGAGTGGCAGTTATGCCAACAAGTTCATTCGGAAAATATTATAAATCCAAATAAATTATCAAATTTTTTATCAAATCTCTCATATTGGTGTGAAATCCACACAAATCACATATGTGTAGGTCTTACACTCATGTAAGAGGTTTGACAAAAAATTTAATAATTTACTTAGAATTCCTAGCATAACTCAATTCACTACTTTGGTTCCAAAAATGTGAACTTGATTGATATTATGCGTTTACACTGATTAGAAAAACCACCACCCAAATGCATTATAAATAGGGTGTGTTCCTCAACATTGTAGTCCCAAGAAACATATCAAAACAAAGTCTTGTTCTTAAAGCTTTAAAAAAAAAAAGACTAGATATGGTGATGAAGAAGACGATGGGTAGGTCAGTGTGTGCGGTAGAGTTGGTGATGGTAATTTTGGCATTGATTGCAAGTTCTATGACTGTGAATGCAACAATTACTTGCCAAGATGCGATAATGAAATTACTTCCATGCGAACAATACCTGTTGGGCAACGGCGGCATCACTGTGCCGTGCTGTCCGGGAGCTCAAAACTTGAACCAGATGGCTAATTCTACAGCAGATCGCCAGGCTGTTTGTGCGTGTTTTAAGCAAGTTGGACCCTCTTTAGGGGTTAACGTTGATAGAGCTAAGCAACTTCCCAATCTTTGCAAAATTGATCTTCGCGGAATAACCATTGACTTTACTATTGATTGCAGTACAATTTCGTAGGTAACACATCTTACTCACTCTATGTCTCTGTCGCTAAACTACTGTGATTTCAGCAAATTAATAACGGCTTCAACACGGTGATAGCCATAGCAGCTTACTTTTTATCCTATATAGCCAATTTTTTTTTTGGTCAATTCGAATTTGAATACATTTGCACATGTCAGTTGAAACTCTCAAAATGGCTAATATTGTGTAGATGTTTGTTTGTCCTCATGAGTTGTGAAAGATGTGTTGAATGATTACTTTTCGTCTCATATAACCATTTTTTTTTTTTTTGGGTCAATTTGAATTTGAATATATTTTTATATATCAGTTGAAACTCTCAGAAGCGGCTAATATTGTGTAGATGTTTCTTTGTCCTCATGAGTCGTGAAAGAAGTGTTAAAAGATTTATACAATATTAGTTCTTTTATGCTTTGTTCCTTTTCTCATATTACTTATTGTGGAAAGATCTCTAGACTTTGTTTTATGCTAAAGATATATAATTGTTTCCTTTCATTTATTTTGCTGTTCCTATGTAGAGCTTAATGGATGGATACATCAAATTTGTGAGGTAGGATGCATATGACGAGGACAAACCTTGGCCAGCGACAATAAAGGCAATTTAAAATTTCTATGTATGGAAAATTATAATATGAATAAATTGTCATCTCTTTCTGGAGATTTTCTTGCAACATTTCACATATGCATATCCACACCAAATCGTTTAAAAAAAAAAAAAACTGTTCCGATGAAGACTAAAGAAATTGTGGTACCCTTGTGCAGATGAAAAACTTGTCTACAGATTAGTTGATACAACATACTTTCCATGCCGGATTTGAAAAATTTTGGTTCGGAATATACAGATTGGAATGCTTGTAGTTTGGATAAACATCGATTTACTATAATTGGACCAAACTTGATTTCGAAGGAAATATTGTTTAGCTTTTAAACTAAAACAAAATTTGACGGCATTAGCTTTCCACATGCTCATCAAACTTGAATCTATGAAGAAGTTTTCCCTGCACACAAGTATACTACGTTTTCTTCAAATGTTTTGATTGCATTATGTTTTTTTTTTTTTAATTATTATTATTTAGTCTCTGGGAATCTCACGAAAGGGAAATTCTATGGTGTGCATCCCTACACTCTTTTAAGGGCGCATGCCATATGCATATTATCACAAAAATAGATAATTTTTTTTAAAAACTAAAATTTAGTAACATTAATCAGAAAATACGTAATATCGTCACAAATTGGTAAAACAAAATATTCAAAATTTTGTGGTTGATATTATAAAAGTTTATGGTTTGGTTATGTCATTTTTTGTCACTCCAATTTATAAACATTTTTTGTTACGCCAATTTATAGTGAGATTACGCATTTTGTAATTGATGTTATAAAATTTTGTAATAAAATCACACATTTTATAATAAGGTGCATATGATATGTATTTCTCCTCATGAAAACATGACATATTACTTCCTATCATAATTATCTCAACAGTCCAATACATGTAGAAATTTCAAATTGGCCTAAGTGATATCTTTGTTGCTGGTAGCTAAGATTTGTCCTCTTAAGGCATCCATCCTTGGTCAAAAAACTCACGAAGCCATTTATTACTTTGCGTAGGAGGAGGAAAAAAAAAACCTTTAAACTTGAATGGAGCATGGTCCTAAACGGTACATGTAATAATAATTAATGTATTCAAATGTAAAATCAGTTAAAAAATCTAGAAATCCCCTAGATGTTGATTTGTGATTATGTATCAATTTTAAGCAGAATATAACAATCCCAATCAAACAATCAAACAATCAAGACAAAGAGACACAACGATTTAACGTGGAAAAAACCACAATTGGACACCTCCAACTGTGATAAAAAAACCACGGGCAACGGCCACAAAACAATCCACTAAGAAGATTTAAAGGAATTACACAGGTATACTCTCAATTACCTAGCGAATCCACAACGCCTAATTGAACCAACCTCTATGTGCCTCTTCCAACCCCATCTTCACCACGGAATTGTCTTTCTGAGGAGCCACTCCAGATTCCACCAAAGCTTCAGGCTCGAATTCTTCAGAATCCACAATTGAAGAACAACTCTCTCTTTTGTAGAACAAAACACAACCTTTGATGTACTCTTTTTAAACCATGAGTTGAAGAACTCTTCTTAAAAACATCAAAGAAAAACTCCCAAAGTATCCCCAGATATAAACCCTAGAAACCAAAAAGAAGATCTGGAGCAGTCATCCTAAAATCTGACCCAACACGCGAATTTATAGAATCTGTCCCGCGATCTCCGCTCGAGCTCAACACAGCCCGCTCGAGCGGACTGACCAAAAACTGCGTGCGAACAAACTGAGATGCGCTCGAGCGTAGGAGAATCCGCTCGAGCGTAAAATCACACCTTCTAGTATTTTTACAGGCGACTGCAGAGATGCTGAGAGCTTCCAATCCCCGCTCGAGCGTCCCTTTCTCCGCTCGAGCGGGAAGGCCAAAACTTGAAAAACTGGAAAAATATAACATGATCGGACAGGCAACTTTGAATGCATTTTTGCAGCTCGATCCCCGTCATAATCAGCGAAGTGGCAATCTTGAAAGCATTAGCATCACAAACTTCTCTGAATGGCACAATTCGGGTTGGATTCGCATCTAAACACTCATAGCCTCACTGAAATAAAAATGCGAATAAAATTACAACTTAAAGGAGTTTTGTCAAACGGGATTGCCAAGAAATAAAACCTAACACATAACATTACCCATAAAACAATCACTTCATATATAATATGTATATATACATTTTTTCCTCTTATGGACTCTTTCTTGTATTATGTAATAGGGATTATGATCATCTCCATTGCGTATTGCTAGATTTTTAAATGATTGGTTATCCATTTTGACATAATTATTTTAAAATTTATAAAGAACATTATTATTCAAGACAAAAAAAATAAAATAAAATAGACTCAATTTTCAAGCCCAGCGACAAATCAATTAGGATATTAAAAGTAACTTTGTATTTCATATGTTTTCTAATTATCAATAAATTATATCACTTACACATCGTTGGATTTATAAAATGGGTCTAAAAAGTGGACTTACATATCATTTTCTATTTATAAAATATAGAAGAAATTAGAAAAAAAAAGAAAAAAAAAAAGAAGAAGAACTCTAGGGTTTGACCCTTATAACAAAATAAATTCTAAATTTTTAATTTTGTCAATTTAAACTCTAAATTTTTTATTTATTTTCAATCTAAACTATTTGTTTATTTCTGTTAAGTAAAATTGATGAAAAGAATGACATTTTAGTCATTAAACACAATGAAAAAGTGTATTATAAAGATTTTAGGTATATCTACATTGAGTTTAATAAATACAATATTATTTTTCAATCGGTTTTACTTAACAAAAATAGGCAAATGGTTTACATTGAAAATAAATCAAAAAATTATAATTTAAATTGATAAAATAAAAAATTCAGGATTATTTTGTTATAAAACTCTAATAATGGGGTTTTTATTTTTTTTATTTTTGTAATTGTCACTAAAATATAATATTCTTCAACTGAATAACTTGCACAAAAAATATATATATTCAAAGCAATGGTATCGTGAAAAATGTTCTTGTATTAGAGATCATACACTTTCACTAGCTTAACGCCCCCTACTCCACCTAATAGTCATGTCCATGAAGAGGCTTTACATTGCTTCCCTTTTGGGAGCTCTGGTACTGCACTCATGCATGTTTGAGTTAGCCATTTGTGCCTCAAACTACACTGATCAATTGGCTCTCCTAGCCTTCAAGTCCTCAATCAACTTTGATCCCAACAATGTTTTGAGCAATTGGACCAAAGAAACCAACTTCTGTGATTGGTTTGGGATCTTATGTAGCCGACGAAGGCAAAGAGTCACAAGTTTGCGCCTTCGCAACACGGGTCTCCGAGGCACCATATCTCCTCATGTTGGAAACCTTTCCTTCCTCCAAGTGCTCGATATTCGCAACAACAGCTTTCATGGTCATCTGACAGTTGAATTTGAACGTTTGCGTCGTTTGAGAAAACTCATAGTACAACAGAACATGTTGGAAGGAAGCATCCCTGTGGAGTTACACCGGTGTCAGAATCTTCAAGTTATATCTCTTGAAGGAAATAATTTTAGTGGCAACATACCAAAAGATTTGGGTACACTACCCTTTCTGCGTATTCTGTATCTCGGGCGAAACAACCTACAAGGTACCATTCCACCTTTCTTTGGCAACACTACTAGCTTGAAAGAGTTTGGAGTAGAATCTAACAACATTTATGGAAACATTCCAATAGAACTATCACTACTTCCAAATCTAAGTGGATTATACTGTCAATACAATCATCTCACGGGTTCAATACCTCGTGCAATTTTTAACAAGTCTTCACTGATTTTAATTAGCCTGAATATGAATGCCTTTTCTGGAAATCTTCCAACCACTACAGGGCTATGGCTTCCTAATCTTGAAATCCTTAGCTTAGCAGACAATCTATTAGTTGGAGAAATCCCTTCTTATTTATCCAATTCTACTAAGCTTACTTGGTTACTTCTACCTCGTAACTTATTTACTGGACCAATACCTAAAAGTTTAGGCAATCTAAATCTCATTGAAAGGCTGAAATTGGAAGGCAATCAACTGACAACTGAACCAGGAAGTACCCAACTTAGTTTTATCATAGCTTTGACAAACTGCACTTCCTTGCAAAAATTGTTCGTAGGAGAAAATAAATTTAGTGGCACAATACCCAATTCTATTGGGAATTTTTCGATGTCCTTGCAAGTGCTTGATGTATCCGAATGCCAATTAATGGGTCAAATTCCCAAAGAGATTGGTTCTTTGAGAAATTTGAATGAACTTTCGTTAGCAGGAAGCAATCTAAATGGGAACATCCCTTCAACTATTTGAGGAATAGAGAGACTTCAAAGATTACATTTGAGTGCTAACAACTTTCACAAATCGATTCCAAGTGAGCTTTCCCTTTTGAGAAACTTGGGAGAAATTTATCTCCAGGAAAATAAGCTTTCTGGATCAATTCCGAGTTGCATAACAAAGCTTAGTAGTTTGCAAGTGATGGACATTAGTTCCAACAAACTGACCTTAATACCCTCGAGTTTATGGAACCTTGAAAATCTGAGGCTCTTGAATTTATCATTCAATTCATTAAATGGAAGCCTAGATCCACACAAAGCCCTTGAAGTATTGGAAAGCATGGATTTATCTTGGAATCAAATCTCAGGAAACATACCAAGAATTATTGGGTCCTTCCAAAGACTAGCTTCTCTGAACCTATCAAGGAATTCATTCTCAGGACCCATTCCAAACTCAATAGGAAATTTGGTAGCATTAGATTTCTTGGATCTTTCTCTCAACAATTTGTCTGGACCAATACCCAAGTCTCTCGACGCACTTTTGTTGGAAATGGTTAATTTTTCCTCAAGTTTGGTCTATTTTTTAGGTGGGCCCCGAGTGTCGATTTACTCGGGTCAAAGTGGTAACGCGTTCTATGCCGCGTTGTGATTCACGTGGTATATTTGGTTGCTCAAAACCATTACCGAGTGAATGGGAAATTGAAGCCAAAGTGTGCACCATGGAAATGGAGTTTTGGTGGAAATTCTTTAAGGTGGTAAATTGGCTTGTCCCACATTGATTTGGTGGGAAGTTTTGAAAGGGTTTATAAGGCTTAGGGTGAGATACTTGGGGTGTGCCCCAAGGGGTACCCAAGTGTTTTAGAGCGAGAGGTTATGGGCTAGGCCCATTGGACCCAAAAATCACCCCACGCGCGCCGCCGCCGTCGCAGTCCATCCGTCCGGGCTGGTTGGACTGGGCTTGGGTGCGAGTGCGGGTGTGGGTGCGTGGTGTGTGGTTGGGCTTCTAATCTTTTTGGGCCAAAAACATTTGAATTTAATTTAATTTTTTATTAAAATAAAATCCAGAATTCAAATTAAACTAATTTGGATTTTCTGTACATCCAAACAAG